GTGACGCCTATGATCAAATTTAGAAGTGTTGGACWTGCCCAGAAAATGACAATTTCAAGAAAATTTGTTGCACAAATCTTTTGAAAATGTTCATATAACTGCACCCTTCTGTGACTGACGCAAGGAAGTCACAAACCCCCAATCTGGAGACTCCCTCATGAATGCTGTTCTCCAGTTAGTCACAGTCCAGTAACTAACGTAAATTGCTGCACTTCACTGTAGCCTGTCACAAAGGCTTATTATTATGACTCCCCCCACACGAAGCGTAAGCGGGAGTCAAATTGTTTTCGTACTGTTTATTTTTTTCCAGTGATTTTTGGTCAACCATAGCACAAAAACGGCTGCACCAATCAACATGAAATTTGGCAGGGTTGTAGATGAGTCTGACCTACACTGCGCCAGCCAACGGTTTTACGACATACCCCATATTTGAGGAGGTGGCTCCTTTCAAAGAAGGGGTGTCAGGACATGCAAAAATGCTTATAATTCAGAAACTGTTCAACATTAAAGCTTCAGATTTCTTTTGCTGTTTAGCTCTGATGAAGCTCTATCCATCAGGCCCACCAATCAGTGTCCCCCATCCCCCCAGACCCCCAATTTATCTGAAAAAGGGGTGTTTGGACATACAAAAATGCTTATAACTCAGAAACTGCTCAACAAAGGAACTTCAGATTTATTTTGTTGTTCAGGTCTGATGAGGGGCTATTCATCAGGTCCACCCCCCCAAAAAAGACCCCACACAAATCACTACAATTTTGGGATGCATCTGCTAGTGTGACATTTATTAGGAATAAAGACTTCTGAGTTCTGGTGCATTTGTGCGTGCGGGGGTCATTATGTTACCGCTATGCAGTATCCAGTTGATCACATAAGCTATGAGTACATGGACATAAGTAACACTCAGTTGGAATAAAAATCTGAGTAATTTGATCGAATTCAGCTGAGTCATGAACTTGTAATGTGAACGAGAGGGGGAGTTTATGCAGATAGATAATACAAACGTGTGAATGTAAACACTTATTCTGTTGTGACTTGGCGCTGTATAAATAAACTGAATTGAATTGAATTCTGATGATGTTATTCTGGCTGTGGAAAACTAACCTGACCATGTCAACCTGACGTATTTCTGCCTGGCTTGTGTGACAGACTGTGAAATGTGCCAATCAGACATCCAGCATTATTGCTTGACAGGAGTGTTCATCGTGGTAGTGTTTGCTCATCCTATACCTAACGGTGTGTAAAACATAAAAAAGCTGAATTTGACACTCGTTAGAAACATATTTTATGTAACTTAGCTAATTAAAAAATTGTTGTAACAAAAAACAAGTGACACAGTACGTTGTTTAGTCTGTTTTTTTGTGAAACGCCAGCAAAGTGCTTCACATTTTGATCTCCAGAAGACATTTTCAATTAAATTTGCTTTTGACAATACTTTTTCTGTTAGTCAGCCTTTTCATTTATCCTGTGAGCTTTCTGAATGTTTACCACTGAAATTACATTTTACAAGAATATCCATGGGACTTGAACTCTCTGCTGACTCAGATTTGAAGTTTTACATGAAATGTCAGCACATAAATTAAACGGATTGCCTTTGAGTAATTGGATTGATTTCTTGAACCCCTTATAACAAACTTTAATAATTTTAAAATCTTTTATCACCAAAATCAAAAACATAATTAAACATATATTTTAAAACATTGTTTATGCAGGGCACTAATGTTAAAGGGTTTATGAGTTTGCATTCAATTTGCTTTGTGTCATTCTGTATGTTTTAAAGTGACCTGAGAGAAAATAAAAATCTTCACTGCTGATAAATACTGTATTACTGTAAGTGATATTGGTGAGTTTTGTGTTTTTATTATAATCATCACAGCTGTCTGGTAGTGATAATGTCAGATGATAGCACATAATTTCCTGCAAGCAAATATGGAAATTTCATTTATGTAAACATTTTGGTCTGAACTGCGCATCCATGCTGGAAGCTTTATTCTGTATTCCACAGTGGCGTGTAGGAGGGCGCCTCTTAGTCACCCACTTAACTTATCACTAGTGTTTTTCCATTGTTTTAACCTGCTGCCATTTATGTCAGTATTAAAATTAGATTACTTTGTGATTCATCATGTCTGAGACAGAACAAAATGTCTTCCTGAGATCAGTCTAAAATAACTAAAACAAATAATAGATATCTTTAAGCTAGATTAAAACAAAATTCAGAGATCAGCGTGAGTTCATGGACCCCACACCATCAGGGAGGAAGCTTTTTAACAACTTTTTAACTGAGAGGGGAGGGGAGGGTAGCTTATGAGCTGGATGGATGGGTTTTGTCATAATGTTCTTTGCTCTGGTTTTGCTGGTGTAAATGTTCTCAAGAGAAAGGAGGCAGCTGTTGATCCTTTTTTAGCTGCTCAAATCACTCGATGCAGTTTCTTTGTGTAAGCCTCCGAGCCGTTTCCCTACCAGTAGAGGAAAATGTCTGAACACTCTCCATCTGTTAAGAATGCCTTGGTTAGGTAAGAACCCCAGATGCAGGACTGAGTGAGGTGGAAAAAATATTTAATAAAACGAAAACAAGAGGCTGACGTYGCAGCAAACTAAAAACAAAAGCTTGCCTTTGGCTTGAAACAAGAACTTGAACATCCAACAGAACACATAATCAGTTAACAAGGATCTGACAAACACTGAAGACACTGAACAGAATATAAAGAGAAACTATTGACTAGAAACAAGATACAGCTGGGGAAGAAACATGAGGATCAGGTGTGAGTGGGTGGGGCTGGAGCACAGGCAGACAGGAGGAAGAAAACAGATGACAAGACAGAAAACTAGAATAAAACATTAACACAGAAACAACTCATAACACCATCATTGGGAAAAGGAAGCCATTAGAGCAGCATTGAGGACAACACGCATTCTCACAGAAAACAGTTGTGAGTGAGTCTTGATGCTGGCTGTTTGTGTCCCATGGGAGGTTAGTGGACATGTGCAGACCTGTGTTTTCAGCTTATTTTCACCTGCTCCACAGGGACAGAGGGGTGTAAGCTAAGTCTACTCCTATCATTTTAGTTTGTGCCACCTTCATGCTCAGGTTATTTGTCTCACACCAGCCAATAAGCTCCCCCACACCTTCCTGCTGGAACTGTTGTTTGAAATCAGCCCAACAACAACATGCTGTCTATGAACTTCACAATATGATTTCCTGAATCACATGCGGAGCATGGGACGGGGTAAAGGACTCATTCTTGTGGAGAGCAGGTGTTGTGAACAATGTTAGAGGAGAAGAAACAGTGGATTCTCACAGACTGTGGTCTGCCAGGACAGTCACACATTTAGTTTCAGTCGCAGCAACAGTAGGTTGTAATGTCTCTGGGAAAATGGTGTTAAAAACAGAAGCAAAAACCAGAAAAATCAGTTTGACATACAGTATGAGTCTTTGGCTTCCAGGTTAATGAAAGCAGAGCTGATAACTGACACTGCATCAGACATGAACCGGTTCTATGTGATTACATATGTGCTTAAATATAGGAGTGTGTGTAAAGCCAACAGAACGTCAAAATGGTTTTAAAGGATGTAAACAGGGAACATGTGAACAGTTAAAAAAGGGTGTGAAAACATGAAACAAGAGTTGTTTACTGTTGCTTACTGCAAATAAATGAATGAAAATTACCAGCCCAGGCAATTTATTACATAAACAGAGCAAATTCTAATTAAACTTCTGAGAAAACCTRTTTTCATTTAATACCTAAGAATGAAATTGGAAACATTTTGGAATAAGCCAGTTTGAAATAAATGTGACAAAATATTAGCATGTTTCTGAAAACTATGTGTAAYTATATGTTATCACAGTATAACAGAAATCCTTTTTCAACCAGCTGTTTTTTCAAATTCATTCTTGACATTTACAGAAAAAAATCATTTTGAAATAAAAGAAGAGAAGGAAAGAAACCTAAGGTCTGATGAAGACAWTTTTTTGTTGTTTTTATAACCGAAATACAAATTAAATACAGAAATCTCTGGCCTGAGTATTTTTTTGTTTTGTTTTGAGAAATAATTTAAAATATTTTTTCTCTTCTTAAACACTGCAGTTATTAGAGGTACACATTCACTAAATTATGTCACACTTAAACACGACTAAGTTGTACAGTATATTGTAAGAGCAATCAATGGAATTAATATCGTTGTAGCGAAGCATTGTTTTTAATGCTGCCATATATTGATTTGTTTAAAATGTTTAGGTATATTTTATGAACTCTTGTTTCTCAGGGACCACAGATGGAAATAAGTCAGTATAATRTAATCCTACATCCCTCTTCTGAGTAATTGAGCAAAATTACAAACTGAAAGACATTCATAACACAAGACCTATAAATACAATAATATTTTCTTATAGTAGTCTTTAAATGGACCAAAAATATAGACAATAAATACATATGAAGAACAGAAAAACATTTTAGGTGTGACATATAGTATATAAAACATCAGTTTTTATCACCTCAGTGAGTCATTGCTCCATCTTACATTGCCCTCTTGTGGATTTTACAGTTTTATTATAAATCAGAGTAGGATCATCAAAATGTCTACGAAACACAAAAGTAAAGAAAAGTTAAGTCTAGTTTCTCAAACAGACAGAATCATTAACTAGTTCCACAGTAGAAACGTTGTTCGCTGTAGAGAGATCTATTAACAAAAGCTGGGAAAACATTTAACTACCTCATCTGTTTTAAAGTGGAAACACAAGAAGTAAATTGAAATTTTAAAGTATGTTTAACTTACAAAACACCATTAAGAAAAACATACAAAATAAAACAATGAAGGTAAAAATGCATTAAGTACATACTGTGTCCTGAACCTACATTGTCGCATCATATAAATCAGTTCAGTCATTGCGCTAAAAAAAATTCAAAAATTAAAATTGTCCAGTACACTTTGACACACAGAAACAAATCTAAACAATCCACATGGGTATTGAAATAAATTACTGTAGGTTTCTTGAATGCAATGTTTTAGCAGCCATCTTTGTTGGGGAAGACCTTGTTCAAACTCATTATGACCTCCTCCTGAGTGATCATCCGCCACTCCTCAGGAATCCTTGCAGGCTTCTGCTTGACTTTGTCTGCAAATCTCTCATTGAACCTCACCAATACATACCTATAAATTAAAGAAAATTTAGTTACTTTACTTTCTTAAAGAATAATTTGTGGACAGTATGCAGAAAAAACATACCTCCAGTAATTGTTAGCTTTTCTGAGCAACAGATCCCACTGTGCTGTCTTCACTTCCTGATAGGTCAATCAGGATGAGTTTACTTTCTACATCTCTGCAAGACAAAAGGAGTTGCTTTCCTTTCTCTTTACATTCACCACAGAAAAAAAATATCACAGCTGAGGATATTTGACATAGAAGCTTAAGGTGTTTTTCATGTGCACTAACATCACCACGTAGATTAGACAGAGCCAAAGGGACAGGGTAAATATCTCTGACCTCTCCGTTGGGTAGGTACCATCCAATTGCTATTAAACCATTGGAGAGTATTTGAGGCAATTATCCTCCATCCATGCCTTTGTGCACATATATTTCAAAACAAGATTCAAGTCCATTCAGAACATAATTTAGCACCTGTGATTTGGAGACACTGCATTGACCAAGTTTCACACATGAAACCATTGGCATTGATGTACTTGTTAAATTCCAATCCTGTACTCTCAGGTTTGTTTCCAGAGAGTGAGATCTCCACTGACCCACAACGCTTCTTGAAGGCCAAAGAAGGAATTGACTGGGTTCTTCTGGATGAATCCTAGGAAGGACCAGAGGTACAGCAAACTTACATTGTGACATGTGCACAAACATCTCTTGCTGAAGAAATGGGTTGGCTGCTATGAAGACGGATGTTATCAGATCAAGGGGGTTGATTGCACTTTGAGTCTTACCTTCAAAACCACCCAGCTTCTCCTCGGGCAGGCTGTTGTTTTTAGTTTCACTTTCAGGATGAGGGTGGCCACAAGGATTTCTAGCATCTTGTCTCAGCATCCAAAGACAACAAAGGAAAGCATTTGGTAAATCCTTAAGCTCTAGAGGAGCTGGATTCTCTGTAGGCCATGCACTGATATCTAACATAGATGTTGGATCCAGTTATTGAGTTCTGTAGGTCTCCAACCCGACATCGGGGGCAGTACCCCTGGATTGGCAGACTGGGGTGGTGGTCCCCCTGTTTAAAAAGGGGGACCGGAGGGTGTGCTCCAATTACAGGGGGGTCA